AACCATTCCAAGCCATCTGGTATCGTTTTTAATTCATTCTTTTAATGTATGTAAAATACCCCATGGTTTGGATATATCACAATATGCTATAATTTATTCAACCATGCCCTCATGGATCAACGTTCACTTTATTTTTAGTTTGTTGCCATTGTGAACAATATTGCAGAGTGTACTGTCTACAACTCCGACTTTCTTTAAAGGGAACAAAAACAGAAAGACAGTTGTGAACCATTATGAAAGCAAAATCCTTCTAGATTTTTATAATTTTTGTCTAATCTTTTTTACGTTTCTTATCTTCATATGTTATTTTATTATCTCCCATTTATGGATATGCAAAGCATTCCATCTCATTTTCATATGAACAACTTGCTTTCTTTTTGCTTTTAGTTCATCAGTCTATATACTATTTTTTTAGTTGTATAATTGCAGTGACAATTTGACTCTTGGCAACAAAGTACAAGACACATTTTGAGGAGTTCAAAATTGATGAATTGTTGGGTTAATGAAGGACTATGACTAAAGGAGCTCTGGTAGCGTAGTGGTTACGAATCGGGCTGCGAACCGCAAGGCCAGCAGTTCAAAACTACCAGCTGCTCCGTGGGAGAAAGATGAGGCGTTCTGCTCCCGTAAAGATTAACAGCCTCGGAAACCCTGTGCAGGGTCACTATGAGTCGGAACCGACTCCACGGCACACAACAACAACAATGACTAAAAAATAACAAATAAAAATGATAGGTTAGGATCAGATCTTCAATGCTGATATTAAGGTATTTATTTTAATTGCTTAGGAAGTGGGGATTCTTAGGAAAACGTTGCTCACAGTTGTTCATTATGAAATCAAATTCTAATGGCAATAAAAGATAAGTTAGAAGGTGCAGCCGTGCTAGAGAACCACTAATATGTAATATGGATTCCTAGTGTGGCATTGTAGGATCAGCACTGGACTGCAAACCACAGTTGGCTCCTTAGAAACCCTAGACAGGGTCGCTATGAGTTGATACTGACTCAATGGTACTAAACAACAACAATATGTAATATGTAAAAGAGCCCTGGTCTGGTGTTGTAGAATAAGCACTGAACTGCAACGTCTGCCATTCAAACCCATCAGCGGCTCTCAGAAACCCTATACAGGTTTGCTGTGAATCAAAACCAACTCTAAGGTACACAACAATATGTAAAATGGTAGGAGATAAAAATGGCTGAAGTAGGTTGGGGCTAATGAGGTTTGAAGGTCAAGCTAAGGAATGTGAACCTATTCTTACTTCCCTACGAACACCCAGTATGACACCTAATAGATATAAAATAAATATTCACTCATTATTTTAATGAGGTATTTGGTCATAAAAAGGATATTTTAAAATATTAAATTATTTTTACCGTAATTTAGATAATAAAAGCATATGTGATGTTACAATTTAGAAGAAAGAACGCTATTGATATAAAGGAAAACTGTTTTAGTATTGTATTCGATATGGACTTTGCTATTAAAGACTATTCACTCAACCAGACCCTTCCCAGAAATTACTCTTTCTTGTCTTGAACCAAATCATCTTTCTCCCCCATTTACACCTTTTAGGCTATCTTTATCTTGTGATCCAGTTCTGTTACTATCTCTTTATTAATTCTGATTAAACCAGGAGCAACTTCTCTTCCTCAGAACCTCTCTAGTACTTCTCTCTCTCTTTTTTTTTTCTCTCATTTTTTCCTTCATCATAATTATTAATATACAACACTCTATCTTTTTCACTTAATTTTAAGCTTCTTGAAAACAAGAACCATATCTTACTGTATTTGTGTTTTCCTCGGGCATTCACATGGTACCACCCATATACATAGATGATGCTCAATAAATATTTATTGAATTCATGAAAGAAAAAGTATATAATCCAGTTTAGTATGCCAGGAATCAACACATAAAGTGGCAGCCAGCTCCTGTAATAGAGGATCACAAACTTTTCCTATAAACAGCCAGATAATATATATTTTAGACTTTGTCAAACAAGAGGAAAAATTAAGGATATTATTTAGGAATTTATGTAAAAAGAGAGAAAATAGGTTACCACAACATTTTTATTGACAAAATTCAATATATAATAATTGCAAAGTATTTTTTAAGACAACTTTACTCATAAGAATGGGATTCTTTTAGGGAATGACTTAGCTTAAAACAGTCATCAAAACCTACTGTTCATCTGTTAATGCTGATCTATAATGATCTTGTATATATTTTTGTGTTTTAATGTTTCAAATTTATTTTCACACAGATAGGTATTGCCAAAAACTGCAGTTCGTTAGCATATGATTTGAATTAAACATATCTATGACTTGGAAGGCATTTATAGAATTCTGTTAGATTCTTCTCTCAATGTTTTCCTCTTAGCATGTCATTATGATTCCCAATTGAAGGTGAGGTGGAAACTCCTCAACTGGATAGTTTAATAGATTTTGAAATATAGAAATTTCTTACAGCAGTGTCCAAAGACAATGTTTGATCTCATAAAATATATCCACTGTAAATTTGTATAGTAATGGAAATCTTCACTTCTGTTTAATTTTTCATAGCACGGAAAATGCAAAATGAAGCTTGACATTACTTGAGTCGTCAAATTAGTTGTCATCAAAATGACTTTACACTATATGCTTCATATATTAGCACAGTTATGCTTTGTAATTTTAGCTTGAATTAATTAAAAACATTATGAAGTCTGTAGCAAAACCTAATTTCTAAACCATTCTATGTTCAATAACAGTTGAGTGTGACTCTTATTCAGAAAAAAAAATCATTCTCCATTTCAAACACCACCCTCCAAAAAAATTCCATTGCCATCTAGTTTGTCCCAACTTAGAGTAGAACTGCCCCATACGGTTTCCAAGGCTATAAATCTGTATTAAAAACCTACTGCCACATCCTTCTCCTATGGAGTGTTTAGTGAGTTCAAACCACCAAATTCACTTAACAGTCAAACATGTTAACTATTGTGCCACTAGGGTGCTGCCAGTCTCCAAACACCTCAATAAAACATTACCACTTATTAGCTATTAAACTTCTAAGTGGTAAAGAAAGTCTGCATAATCAGCTTCTATTTTGACAAAAATTCACAGAACTAATGAAGATCAGATCCATAAGAGCCTATGGCACTCACTGTTGATGTTACTGATTCAATAGCAAAATTCAAGAATTTCCTCAAGGTACTTTATGGTACGTAATACTGGTACAATTAATGCTTATAGCTTTAAACACCTTGTGCTTTTACAAGCTCTTAAATGTTGGCTGTGAGCATTTTTCTGAGCTATCACTATCAGTTATGACACTTCCTAGCAGGTTCCACCTCAGATATTTCCTCAATTTCTCTTAAAATATTCTCACCTGTAGTCATTCCCTGCAGATGATTCATACAGATTAATTCTTCAGAATTGTTAACGTCTATGGACTCATCAAAAGGCAAGGAAAACCCTTAAAAACATTTGCCTTGTTTTTTTTTAATTGCCTATTGATGTTGCTCTCAATGCCCTCAACTCTTCATGAATATTTTATTACCATAAGGCTTACAATCAGCAAGTTTATTTTTACTGCACAATTTAATTAATTCATGACAATTAAGTTATTTTCATTGCCGGGCTAAGAAACGTGCTCAGAAACTTTAGCTGTCGCCTCAGAAACTATGCTGTATGTAATAAGATAATCCCATTTTAAATTTTCTAATTTTTCTAACTGTTGCATTCCCATGAAATTGGGATATTATGTTGAGTGCTCATTCTGGTAATGTTTCTATGCATTGTAGTCTTTCAGCATAGCTATCGTATCATTAAAGAGCCCTGGTGGTTCTCTGGGTTAAGTGTTGGGTTGCTAACCAAATTGTTGGTGGTTCAAAGCCATCAGCTGCTCTGTAAGAGAAAGATGAGGCTGTCTGCTCCCATAAAGGTTTTCAGTATCTGAACCCCTCTGTACATTTGCTATGAATCAGAATCGGCTCAATGGCAGTGGGTTGAGTTTTTGTTTTTTATTTTGTTTTGTTATGGTATAGTATAATTGAATAATAGAAACAAGACTTTGTGGTAAAATATGATAAAATAATACACATTCCACTGTGCCTTTTAAAAAGGATATCTAAGCTCAGTTTCTCTTCTTCTTTTGAAAATGTGTATAATAAAACAAATAAATAAAATATCAGAGACATGAGATGATACATGGGTGGTTGAAACTTTGTAAAGTTTTGCATCACTGAGTTATATAGTATAAGAAGTGTGTAAAATGAGGAAGGCGCTGTATAAGATGTTTGTCACAACTACTCAGTTCTTTTGTTATACTGTAAAGGCAGCCATATGCAATATGTAAATGAATGAGAATATTTGTCTTTATTTTTAAATACTGAAATTTTAATTGTCAAATGTCTTTTTTTTTCATTCATTAAAAATGTGAAAACTACTCTTAGCTCATAAACTGTACAAGAAAAACAGGTTGCAGGCTGAATTTGGCATGCAGCAACTTACTATAATTTGCCAACTTCTGTTCTGGAACTTGGCTTTAAGAAAATATTGTTTGCTTAAATTTATTCTCTATCATAAACTGTTTACAGTAGCATTTCTAGAATTATGTGTAGTTGAGAAATAGAATATTCTTCTTTAGGTGACACTAATTTGTTAATAGAGGTGTTATATATACCAAAGCATAATACAAAAAGTTGGAATTCAATAAATATATATCCATACCTATGCTACATAAATCAAAAGATATGAGATTGTGCACTGCATTAGTATTTTAATTTAAATATCTAAGATCACTGCATGAAATATAATTAGAAAATGCAGGTAAGTGGTGAGTGTTCCCAGTGTTTCCAAATATTATTTGTACATCTCACTTATTTTGGAAAGACAACTCCCAAACCTGGAGAGTGCGTTTATAAGCAACCTTTCAGAACACCAAGCCCTCCTACATTATGAGCCTATCGAGGATCATGTAGGAACTACCCCAGTTTTCATTTTCTATTTGTGTTACTTAGGGCATCAGAGGTAGCCCAGGAGCAACAGGATTGGCTGGTTCTCCAGGTCCTCGAGGAGCAGAGGGGTCATCAGGCCTGCCAGGAAGCCCAGGAGTTCTAGGCCCAAAGGTACTTTAATGCTTCCTTCTGATGGATGAGAAGCATTGGCCATCCTTATTGGCCTGAGTTTCATGGCTAGATCACAGGATAAGATTAATAGCTTTCAATAAAATTTGGCTTATGGTAAAAAGACATTAGGAAAAAAGACAAGTATGTGGCCTTGACATATTCATCTTCTGTGATAGCCACAAAGCATGTAATTTGCCAAAAGAACGTCTTAACCCAGGACTGGAAATGCTTTAAAAAATGCTGTCATGACTCATCTTAGTTCTTTGCGCTCTCTCTCTGTCATCTACCTTCTCCTCCAAAACAGAGAATTCTTATTTACTTCCAAATACATGCTTTCTCAGTTACCCTTCCTTTTCTTTCAAGTTTGAGCCTAACCAACCAATTAGTAAATCTGATAGCAATATAAATTATTTCTTAGAGCCACAGTAATTGCAATTAAGTCTTGCATTAGAATTCTATGCACAGAATATTGTCATATGTCTTTATACTTTTCAGACAAGCCTCTCTTAAAAGTATCTTAGTGTAGGATTGGCTTTGTGGTTGCCTTGATCCTCAAGTTTTATGAAATAACTTTAAACACTAGATTAGTCTCTGGTTTGTCCAGTGTATATACTTATTTCATAAAAACTTTAGAATTAGGCTTTCTCACCCTCAACATTCCTAAGTATGAGTATTCCTGAACACTTAATTGTGCTCATGAGGAATCTGTACATGGACCAAGAGGCATTTGTTCAAACATAACATAGGAACACTGAATGGTTTAAAATTAAGAAAGGAGTGCAATAGGGTTGTATTCTTTCACCATATTTATTCAAACTGTATGCTGAGCAAATAATCCAAGAAGCTGGGTCATATGAAGAAAAACATGGCATCAGGATTGGAGGAAGACTCATTAACAACCTGTGGTATGCAGATGATACAACATTGCTTGCTGAAAGTGAAGAGGACTTAAAATATTAACTGATGAAGATCAAAGACCACAGCCTTCAGTATGGATTGCATCTCAATGTAAAGAAAACAAAAATCCTCACCACTGGACCAATAAACAACATTCTTATCAACAGAGAAAAGATTTAAGTTGTCAAGGACTTCATCTTTCTTGGATCACTCATCAACACTTATGGAAGCAGCAGTCAAGAAATCAAGTGACGTATTGCATTAGGCAAATCTGCTGCACAAGACCTTTCCAAAGTGTAGAAGAGCAAAAATGTCAGCTTGAGGATGAACGTGCACCTGACCCAAGCCGTTGTATTTTCAATAACCTCATATGGATGCGAAAGTTGAACAGTGAATAAGGAAGATCATAGAAGAATTGATGCATTTGAGTTATGGTGTTGGAGGAGATTATTGAAAGTACCATGGCCTGCCAAGAAAACAAATAGATCTGTATTGGAAGAAGCACAGCCAGAGTGCTCCTTGGAGGCCAAGATGGCCAAACTTCGTCCCTCATACTTTGAACATACTGTCAGGAGGGACCAGTCTCTGGAGAAGGATATCATGTTTGGTAAGGTGGAGGGATGGAGAAAAAGAGGAAGACCCCCAGCAAGATGGACTGGCAAAGTGGCAGCATCAATGGGCTCAAGCGTGGCAACAATTGTGAGGTTGGCCCAGGACCAGGCAGTGTTTCATTCTGTTGTACATAGAGTCGCTATGAGTCAGTACCAATTTGATGGCACCTAACAAGAACAAACTCCAGGTGATTCCTAAGTTTATTGTTAGAAATGAAATGAAAATATTCCAACTCTTATTTCAAAACAAAAAATAAATTTAAAAGACCCATGTGGCACTGTAAGATCAGCACTGGACTGTGAACCACAAGGTTAGCAAATGATGGAATTGAAAAGATGAGCCTGCCAGTAACCAGGACTTCAGGAGGTCATCCTCTGTTTCTGCATTATATAGCTACATAAATTCTGGGCAGAGAGGAAAAAAGAGAAAATGTTAATTTGAACAAAATATAGTTCCATCACATGTAAACACACCTCCACACTGTACTCCCTCATCATCTTCTCTGTAGCCTCTCGATCCTCTTCCTAGTTTTGCATGTGCCCCTTCCCTCCATTCCCAACATGTATCACTGTAATCTCTGGAACTTTCTCTCCCTTCTTGATTGTTATAGTAACATGCTATCTGTGTGGAAAATATTGGTGCAGAGGGTGGCATACAGAATTTGATTTCCCTAGTGGCTTGTAATATGCCTAAGAATTGGTCTCAGAATTTCACTTAAAAGACTGTATGTTTATAGATTCTATAAGTGAGATTTTTTTTTTTCCTGTCCATAGGGTGAGCAAGGACTACCTGGACAACCTGGAGTGCAAGGTAAAAGAGGTCACAGAGGAGCACAAGGTGACCAAGGACCATGTGGACAGCCAGGCCGGAAAGGGCCACCTGTATGTGCCAACTCAGAAAGTCTGCAAGCATTTATCTTACAGAACAGGGCCCCATTACACAGAAATGATGAGCATGTCTACTCATATTGCAGGGAGAGCATGGTGTTCAAGGTTGGAGAGGTTTCCAAGGATTCCCAGGTCCCAAAGTATGTTTACATAGTTTCTGTTAGTCTTTTAGATACCTAGGAAAAAAGAGATGCTAAATTATCAATAATTTATGTCTTGACTTGAACTTTTATTTTTTAATCTACAAAATCTCCATTGGTACAAAGAGCTATAGTTTTTAATTTTGAATATGTTATTTATGAAACTGATGTAACTGCACATTGTCCTAGCAATTTTTGCTTTTATTCTCTCTCATTACATTTTTGCAAACGTATCATTATGAACTTTTTCAAATATACAGCAAAATTGAGTGAATTTCTCGGTGCACATCCACATATTCATTACCTAGATTCTACAACTAACTCTTTACTTACTTTAGGAGCCATGGTTGCGTAGTGGGTTACTTATTGGGCTGCTAACCACAAGGTCAACAGTTCAAGTCCACCAAGTGCTCCATGGGAGAAATTTGAGATTTTTCAGCTCCAGTAAAGATTTACAGCCTCAGAAACCATACACAAGGTGCTGACTCAGAGCCAATTCAGCAGCACTCAGACAGCTAGCCTCCATATTTTATCATGTGCCCATCCATTTATCCATCCCTCACTCCTCTCCATCCATATTTCTTGTATTTCAAAGTAAATTGTTGCCATCGAGTCGGTTCCGACCCATAGCGACCCTGTACAGGGTTTCCGAGGGTATAAATCCTTGTTGTTGTTGTTGTTAAGTGCCATCGAGTCGGTTCCGAACCATAGCGACCCTGTATAGGGTTTCCGAGGGTGTAAATCTTTACGGGAGTAGAAAGCCTCATCTTTCTCCCGCAGGAGT